AAAATTATAATATACGTTAATTTGAATAGATAAATAATTGTATAATTTTAAAATATTGTATATATATATATTAAAATTATTAAATTTTTAATAAGAGATACTAAAATCGCATAATTATGGTATTTGAGGGGTTAAAATTGTTTAATTAAATATTGAACGACTAAAATCGCACAATTGCAATCTTTTAAGAACTAAAATTACTCGATTAAAATCTTAAAGATCAAAATCACACAATTATAATACATGAAAGATTAAAAATGTAATTAAGCCTAAATAATTTTAAAAATTATTTTTTTTAACGTAGACTTAAATTAGGAGATCATGACTAGATGTGTGTGATAGGACATAAACGTCATGGATTGGATTGTTCTTTGCTTAACGAAACCGTCACATCAAAACAAAAAAAAATAATAAAAAAATACAACTTCAGCACAAGAATTAAATAAATAGAAAGCAAGAAGTCACGCATCACACGTTATGTGGACGCGCGCGCATATATAATAGTCTCTTTTCGAAAGGGAAATCCGCGAACAAGAAAATTTTGATTTCGTTTGGATTCTGTTATACCGTTTACTTTCCTCTCCTTTCTCTCTTTGAAAGCAAAATTGATCTCTGACTCTCAGCAACGCCACCGCACATAACCGTTGGAATTCGTTGCTTTCAGTAATGGCGTCCGGTGAGGGTGCGAAACCTCCGTCTCCCGATCTTCTCAGCATCTGCAAGTCTCTCGTTGCCGGTGGAGTTGCCGGTGGAGTGTGAGTTTCCCTCTGCATTAGTTCTTTTTCTTTTTCTTTTTTAATTCTTTCCTTTCGTCTCGCACCTTTGTTACTGTTCTTGCTTTTCTTGCTAGCGTTCTTCTTTATTTTTGCCATTATTGCCTTTGTTTCCCTCTGTTGTTCTTTTCGATTTGAATTTATTATTGAAGTGCTCACGGTACTCATTCCTTTTCATGTGATCCTGAAATCTGAATTTTCTTGTATATCATTCATATAATTAATTTTCTTCTTTCTCATTCATATGTGCAGCATAAAGAACTTTTGCTGAGCCTGAGCTATTAGTTATTGGTGTCCAATAGGCTTGTTTATTTCCTTAGTCCATCCCATTCAATAGGACAGGAAAAATATACGGCAATTACTTGTAGAAAAATTGTAAAAGCTTTTTTCAATAACAATAAAAAAGAGAAATTAAATTAATGCAACAAAGATAGAGTTAAAGAAAGCAAAAATGTTACAGAGAATAAAAAATAATATATTAAAATTTGTGAAAAATACTATTTAAATAATGTATTGCTCTCTGCATGTATTGTTTTTATTCCACTAAAGTCAAATGTAAAAGTGGTATGTAAAAATTGATAATAAGTTTTTTGAATGCAGTGAATATAAATTCTTTGATATTTATCAAATTACCGGATCGGTAGGTCCTCAGGATGAGAGTCAAATCTAATGGGTTAAAGCTATTTGTTGACATGTGAATATGTTTGTTAAAAATATTACTAAAATTATCAGTATTCGTCATTAACTTTTTCTTGGCATCGACGAGCCAAATTTTACTTAAGAAGTATTTTGTAAACATTAAAAATGATACAATAAAGAAATGTTACTTTTAATTTTTGATGAATTTTTACAATGCGTGTATGGAAAAAATAAAATACACATGAAAAGTAAAGATAATTATATAGAATCTTATCTGCGGCGTTCACTTCTCAATGTTCAAAACAATGAAATTATTTTTCCTTATGGTTTTGACTTCTGATTTTGTACTATGATATAGTCAAGCATTATATATCTAACTTCTATTAATAATATTAATAGGTCACGAACTGCTGTAGCTCCTCTGGAGAGATTGAAGATTCTGCTGCAGGTAGTTCCCATTAAGTTTATTACTACTACTATTGTCTTTTGGCTATTGTCCAATCTCCTCCTTCCATCCACACACCGCCTTTTCATAAAAGTAATTTGTAGTTACATAGGGATGCTGCAATCAGCATTTTCTCCATGGAGCAAGTGTGTGGATGGTTAGTTTCATTCATGTAGAAAAATGTGTTCAACGGGGAAGAATGTGTTCATTATATACTCTGTTGTTCAGTGAATAAAACAAATTGCTTTTTGAAAATGCAGGTTCAAAATCCTCATAGTATAAAATACGACGGAACGATTCAAGGCCTAAAATACATATGGAAAACTGAGGGTTTTAGAGGAATGTTTAAAGGAAACGGAACTAATTGCGCTCGTATTATCCCAAATTCAGCAGTAAAGTTCTTTAGCTATGAGCAAGCTTCCATGTATGCTTCTCCACATTTGTTTTCTGATATTCATTTCATTACTCTGTTGTAAATGTGTTAATTCTATATCAGTTTCCCTCTAATTATGCTTAATAATAATGTAGGGGTATTTTATGGCTCTACCAGCAGCAACCTGGAAATGGTACAACCAAAATACCTCTCCATTAAATCACTCTATCATGCATCTGAACATTATTTGAGTTAGATGGTCCAATACAGCAGAGAAAGTGAGAACTGAGAAACAGTACTGGACTGTCCGTCTGTCCATATAATATGCTGGTGATCATATTGTTAAAGGAAAATCACATGGGATCATACACTCATACTAGACAAGTAGACATTTTTATTAACAGTGGAGTTGTCCATGGGAATAATTCTTCATCGTGGTGTGGTGATCTGATCACTTTATTCTGTTGATTTTGATGATAACACTCATACTATGAATTTCTTATTTCTTATCTGAATATAGATTTCCATTAGTATGCAAATTATTAGCACGTGTGTGTCAATCTGCATGTTTATTTTTATTAATGTAATTATTTGTATTACTAGCGGGTGTTTTGAAAAGTAGAAACTTTTCAATAGAGAAGAAATTGTGAAAAATAAGGAATAGATTGTAGAGGAGAAAAGAAAGGTAGTAGCTGTTGTAACTGGTCAACGGCTTCGTACAATGGCATGTTAGTTTTTATGTGTAAAAACTTGGTTATGATGGCATTGTTTTGGAAGGAAAGGTGACCGAAGGAATCAAACCCCCTTTAACAGTTGTGAAAATAAGTAGGATTTATATACATTTGGTCCGGGGACATGGGATTCATAATTAATATGTGTTCCTACCCTTTTAAGGCTTGTCTTCATTCGATGGTGCTTTTGGGTTGATTACTTGATTTTCATTCACCAAACTAACTTATTTTGCAGAACAAGCTCAACTCACTCCTATTCTGCGTCTTGGAGCTGGCGCGTGCGCGGGAATCATTGCCATGTCTGCAACATATCCAATGGACATGGTGCGAGGAAGGCTAACCGTCCAGGTGTTGTAAAGAAAGTTTTTTTTTGGAATTTTGGTTTATTTGGATTTGCTTCTAGAAGTGTTGTTTGTGGATGATAAAGATGACACTGAATCGTTTGCTATGTTGGCTGTAACTTCAGTTCATTTTCAATGATTCTGTAGACAGAAGCATCTCCTCGTCAATACAAAGGAATTTTTCATGCTCTTTCAACAGTCTTCAGGGAAGAAGGCCCTCGAGCTTTGTATAAAGGCTGGCTACCTTCAGTCATAGGAGTTGTAAGTGAACAACATTTGATTGTTGAAAAGATTGTTATTTGGTACTAATATCTGAATCTAGGGAGCCTGCATGTAAATGAGCCCTCAAGTGTCATGCTTTCTGCTTTTTGGGATATCCAGTTTCTTTTTTGCATGAAAATGTTATGTTGTTTGCAGATACCGTATGTGGGGCTTAATTTTTCCGTATACGAGTCTCTCAAAGACTGGTTGATTCGATCTAAACCATTTGGAATAGCTCAGGACTCTGAGTTAAGTGTGACCACAAGGCTTGCATGTGGGGCTGCTGCTGGAACTGTTGGCCAGACTGTGGCTTACCCCCTTGATGTCATTCGCCGAAGAATGCAAATGGTGGGTTGGAAAGATGCTGCTTCAGTAGTCGCTGGTGAGGGGAAGAGGAAAATGGAGTATACTGGCATGGTTGATGCATTCAGGAAAACTGTGAAGTATGAAGGATTTGGAGCATTATACAAAGGCTTAGTTCCCAATTCAGTGAAGGTCAGTTGATCCATTATTGGCCATTTGCATAACTTCCTTGTTTTTATATAATGCTCTACGATCAAGTGAATTGGATTAAATTTTTTGGTTGGAAAATTTTATGTTTATCCCAGATTTTTGATAACCGGTATGAACAATAGTTATTAGCCTTAGAAGAGAGTTTAATTTATAGCGTCATATACGGAAGAGAAACGTTTTGATTGCAATCCTCCATTAATTTCAGGTGGTCCCTTCTATAGCTATTGCTTTCGTTTCATACGAGATGGCCAAGGACATTCTTGGGGCAGAAATGAGAATATCTGACTGAAGAATTAGAATTTGCCAGAAGTGATAGTATCAGAAGGTAATTTATTATTTCATTTTCTGTAAATGAAATTTGAAGATTCAATTGTAAAAAGTCAGCAGTATCCATATCCATACACCATCCTTTCTCTGCATATTATTTTCATTCAGTGACAATAAGTTTTGTGTGAGGAGCCAAACTGTATGCATTGTGATTAGTGACAGATGACTCTCACCAAGATAATGATTTTTGAACATTACGGTGTACAGTTTGCCGGGCATTACTCATCCACATCACAAAAGTCATGTTTGGCAAGGTTTATTGAAAATTGTTTAGTTCTTTTTTAACTAAGTTTTGTTTTTCTTGTCTCTTGTGTGTATACAATGATATCAACGTAGATAGAAACTAAATTCTCATGGGTCTACCCGCAACTCCACCACTGAACCTTTTTAATTGAATGTTGTTAGTTTAAAGTTTAAAGTCATTTTATTAAATTAGAAATGTTTAATAAAATTAATTAGTCAACTAGTTAATAAATAGAAAATAACATTCAAAACACATTTAAATGTTTTTTATATGCAAAAATATATTTTTAGATAATTATTGTTTTAATTTTTTAAGTTAATTTTAAGCTCTTACCATTTTTAAGTTAAAGGTCATAATATTTTATTAATAATTAAAAGAAATAATGTACAAAATCAGATATAACTATTACTGAGAATGAGATAAAGTGGAGAGTTATAACCCAAACTCCCGATCAAATTGAAAATGTGTTTTCCTTTATCTTTGAGCAATTATATTGCAAGTTGTTTATGAGTTGCTTAAGGACCTGTACTAAAAAAATAAAAAATAAATAAATAAAATAAAAACTAAGCACATGTACCTTAATTTTTTCAAGTTCATATTTAGTTTTATTTTAAATTTATTAAAATTGTGGAGTAGTTTCTTATATATTAAGGTACTTTGGTATTTATTAGTATATATATATATATATATATATAGGTTGGGATAACCCACAAACCCAAACTAATTTCCAAACACTTTGATCCAAAAATTGTTATTACTTTATGAAGCCTAACTAAACTTTTCCAAACTTTGCCTTTTGATTCAGATAATTCATTTTTAATTTTTTTACCCACGAAATCTCACTCATTTATGTGACATTTTAGTTTCAAATTATTATTTACATTTTTTAATCATTTATTTATTAATTTTCTTTCAATATTATAAAATTTTAACACATTTTTTTTTTTAGCCTTTTGGACCGATAGAATCGATCCAAATTAATCTATCATGTATCAAGTTTGTTCAATTTGAAATTTTGGAGAAAAAAGTGCAAATTTGTCCCAACTTAAGTAAAAATTGATTTAAGTAACGACTTTAATCGAATCCAACTCAAATTGACCCTCCAAATATTTCTGTTGCTGGGAAAATGAGTATTTTTTTTTTATCCACGGGGAGAGTTAGTATTTTGAAATAATAATGAAAAACATATTTCTTAAAATTAATTTGTGAATGAATTGAATAAAAATATATTAGACAGTTTTTTTAAATAATTTATGAACAAATTGATTTTTAAATTTTTTAATAATTTGTAAAACAAATTAATCTATCAACTCATATATTAAACACGGATTTCTATCTTACACGAGAATATTTTTGAAAAATCTTCTTCAACAAGAGAATTTTTAAGAACTTTTTAACTATTTATATAATTCAATTTTTATTTATTATAATTATTTGTTAATTAAATTTTAATTTTTAAAATAAATCTTCAATAAATAAAATATTTTGTTATAATATAAATTATTTATCATAGATTTAAA